GACGACTGCAGCCACCCCTCGGTGGTGACGATGCGGACCCCGTGCCGGAACTGCACGTTCGCCGACGGGCTGTCGATCGACCCCTTCCCGTTGTATCCGATGTAGGCCTTGACCTCGTTGGCCCGGCCGAAGCCCTCCTTCCAGTCGAAGGCGCAGTGGCCTGCCGTCACGAGGAGGTCGTCCCGGATGAGCCAGCCCGTGCCCATCGCGTAGCGAGTGTCATTGGGGGACTGGCCGGCGTAGTGCATGAAGAGTTTGACGATGGCTGCGAGAGAGACATCGGGTCAGTATCTCGTGAGGGACAACAGAGGAGGGTGGGGTCAGTGTTCTTACAGCGGTACTTGCCCCCGGGGGCAAGGTGCATTGGGTCAACGAGTTGGCGCTCGTCTTCGAAGACGGACTCGCCGCCCTCCTGCTGCAGACCGAAGCACGACTCGGCTGCTTGGGAGGGCGTGCTTTGCAGCGTCCAGGTGGCGGCGACGACGGGCATGACTTTTGTTTTGGTGCAAAAGCAAAAACAAAGATAGAACGTGTGAAGCGTGTAATGAGAGAGAGAGAGACTAAAGAGTTGCAGAGAAGAATGAATGCGATGATGATGAGAGTGACGTTTCTGGCCGGTTTGACCCCTCTTATATAGCTTCATCGTCGCTAGACGTTTCCCACTCGTGTTGCTCAACCCTTTCAGCTGTGATGATGCATGTGTCTCCCTCGAACACCGTCCTTGTGGCTGCCTGAGAATATCCTGCTCACCCTGTTCAGCTGGAGGTCAGGTTATGTGATGCAACCGTGCAAATGTGATAGTGATATGGCGTGTGAGCTCAAACAGAAAGGTATCCGTTGCCGACGAACACAGTCTCCTGCATTAGGACATGCATACCATCCAAATTCTCAGACCAGATCAGGGAGCAGATTGGCCAGACAGTGCATCTGCTGAAGACTCCTTCGTATCAACTCCTGCAAGATGCTAGCTCTTACATGCTGCAGGGGGGAATGGGTCTTGGCAGAAGGGTTGGATGATTGTATCTGGATATTGACATTCCCCTGCCCGCAGTATATAGTAACATTGCTCTAGCTAATTCATGTGTTACAGCCGACCTCCAATCACAAACTCACAGCAACAACATCTCTCTACCTATGTTATCCGATTAGTTGCCCATGTCTACCAATTCCACCACATCAAAGCTTTGACATAATGAATTTCAGCCGTCGGGTATTTTTCCCTCCTCTTCATGAGCGGTCCCGTTCCTGCAGCGGGGAAGCAGTCTAGACCCGAGGGTGCAGGGCTTCCTCGCCTGAATTCACCAATCTGACTGCGCACTCCTGTAGAATTAGCCAATCTCCATGGTTTGTGTTCACAATGTGGGATTTTCGAGCGACGGGGTCGCCGTCCCTGAACGTGCCCCGCCCCCATTCTAGACTATTGCCGGGTATCTCCATTGCCGGCTGGTGGCGCGTGTTGAGGTAAACGTGATCATGAAGAATTCCAGGCGAGAGTGTGATTCCAGTTAGTGGAGATTGAACTTAGAAATCCTGGCTTTGGATTTGAGTAGGACTTTTTGCAGGACAGTAACATTGTTGTCGGTGATGATGTGCGATCCAGATATATCCGTCGTCGCTCAGGATACCTCAGCTCTGCAAATATATAGCGAGGTCCACCCCCAACCCTACAAGTCCACAGCAAAACATGAACTTCGCAAACCAGGTATCCATTTTAGGTATCTCAAGACAGAAGAAAAAATCTACTAATCAGCCATTAGAACTAATCCAACTCACATAACCCGATAATCGCTCCACCCCACCCAAACCCATTGTTTCCCTACCCCAACCCAGACAAACAAACCTCCCCTAAGAAATCGCAAACCTCGATCTCGCCCGCAACTTCGCCCCATACAAATACAGCACAAAAATCCCAATCACACCTAACGTACTCAACCCGCCCAGCAAACTGACCCCCTTCCCGATCCCCAGATTCAGGAACATGGGGCGCGCATACAGGATCGACCCGCACGCCATGGCGGACCGGAAGAAATCGTTGGCCGCGAAGAGACTGGCCGCGTAGGCCGGGTACGACATGGGCACATAGACGAACACGCACTGCAGCACGATAAACGCCGAGCTGCCGTAGATAGTGATGCCGATCGTGGGCACGATCCAGTGGATGTGGCGGTTGGCCGTCCACCCGAACAGGAACAGGCCGATGGGCGGGCCGAAGCACCCGATCAGCGCGGGGACCAGCCGGCTCTCTTGGGTTTTGGGGACCCCCCGCAGCAGTTGGGGGATGAGGTAGTAGAGGAGGTAGGCGAAGTAGATGGCTACCGCTAGGAGGCAGGCGACGAGGACGCAGAGGAAGACGAGGCCGATGGTGCCGAGGGTGAAGTTGTAGAGGGGCGGGTAGACGAGGGGGAAGACTTCGAAGAACTTTTGAGGGCGGAATTAGTAATGGTTTGGGAGGGGAGGGAGAGGGGGAGGGGGAGGGGGAGGGAGCGTACAGAGTAGTAGATACCGTAGACGATGGCTGTGTAGACTTGGACGAAGAGGATGGCGGGGTCTTTAACCGTGATTTCGATGGGCTTGATGATCGCGTCGATGATGATGGCGGACGGCTTCAGCTGGGCCTGCACGATCTCCGACTGCGATTTGAGGTGGTTCGACCCGATCAATTTGCGCAGACGACGCGCTCGCTGGTGGAGCAGCGTCGGGGTGGAGGTCTCGGGGAGCAGAAGGAACATGAGGCCGAAGACGGGGCCGGCTCCCCACAGGATCTCCCACAGCGACCATCGCCATCCCATGGCGGTGACGGCAAAGCCCGAGATCAACGGGCCCAGAGCCGGTCCACAGTAGGCTGCGGTCACCCAGGCACTGAGTGCGAAAGGCAGGTACAGCAACGAGTAGATGTCCTGCATTGTCGCCCCTCCCGTGGCCAGACAGGGGCTTCCAAAGAAGCCCTGCAAGAAGCGGAGCACCAGCAGGCCTCCGAAATTGTGGACCAGTGGGAGTGGAATGGAGATAATCACAAACAAGAACATGGTAATGCAGTAGACCGGGGAGCGCCCGATGGAAGGGACTTCCGACAGCGGAGAGAAGAACAGAGGCCCCACTCCGTACCCTAACACATACAATGACAGCCCCAGAGCAGACGCCGTGGTCGAGACGCCAAACTCGGCCATGATCCCCTCCTCCGACGAGACATAGATCGCTGACCCCGCATACACAATGAACGTATAGAGAAATATGATAAGCCCCACAAATGCCTTCTTCGTCTGAGTCCAGTTCTGTGGATTCGCTGGATCGTCCGGCCCGTACCAATCCACCATCACAAAATCCGGGGGTAGTGTGTCAGCCTCACTCTTATCGTCGGGGATTGGTTTATCCAACAGCTTCTCTGGGTCCTGATCGGCGTGCTGGTTGTGGAAGATGGAGCTGCTCTGTTCGCTTTGTTGCGGTCGGCTCCCCGGTGGGGCCTTAATGCCCGGCACGCCGAGTCGCGCCAGGCCCTGCAGGTATTCGGGAGGGAAAACAAAGTCTGCCTCCTCTTCAGGGTACTTGAAGTACTTCTTCTTGGTCACCCATCGAATCACTTGCCCCAGGGGGGCATCACGGATCAGACTATTCATGGCGGTCTTCGTTGAGTAGAGTAGACTTTGATGAAATCGCTAGATCAAATTTACATATATCTCATGATGAGATCTACCGGGATCGACTACACAAACAAACCATGCGATCGTATCGAGCATCTTTATAGTAAGAGAACCCCGGGCGAGGCTGTTACTCGATGCATCGAATGCTCCCTAAGCCGGCGGGAACTGGCTGGCGGATTGGAAATCCATCTCCGGAGTTAAGCCCCACAGCCGCACCATGCTGGCCACGCCAGAACCTTATTCTGCTGTACTTTGCAGGGGGAGTCGTCGGTTTAACCCCCGGAGTTACCGATCCATGGAGATGGGTGGTGATGGTCGAGCTGTCAGTCGCTAGCTCGTGGCGTGCTTGAGCTTTGACATGAGGTGGTGATGTCAGTGCCCAACCGCTGGCTGACTGATGGCCATCGTATCCATTCCAGCGGAAACCGATGTTTTGTCATCAACCCTGCCATCAAGGGAACGCCGAAAGCTAATTTTGCACGGTGAAAAAAGGAAGATGAATCACAAAGGACGGCCAGGTGCATGTCTATTGGGACACCCTGTGTATACCCTGCTGGGCACTTCGTATTCGCTGGTGAAGTGTCTGGGTCGATGCGGTCCGAGTGAAGAATTCTGAGAGGAAGTGCGGTCAGCATAACGTTCAGAAATCAAATATGCATATTCAGGATCAAATCATACAAGTCATATTATAGGGGTCTGGGGCGCTCGGTTGACCTGGCGTTCGAGGTCTCAGATCTCGGCCTCGTGATAGCCGTGTTGAGATGGATTGCAGATACGGAGAAATCTGCATGGACGCGCCGCATGGGAGACACGTGAAGAGGTCAAGCCGTGCTTATGGCAGGGTCCATGCACATGGGTCGCAGGAGGCGGTGATCAAACTGCGTGTGAGTCAGGGAGATGACTGGTCTCGGAGATTAGGCCAGACCCGATGTACCCGACTTGTAAGTTTGATGAGGCTGAAGCTGATTACGGAAAGCTGATCGGCCAGCGGCCAGCTGTCATGCAAGCCGCGTCGCCCGAGACATATTCGGGCAAGAGATACAGGTTCAAGTAAACCTCAAAAGTCACACAGCACGAAATACTATGACTTTTCAGGCGTAGGCAATACCCTTCTAGTTGACGACATTGGAACGCTACATCATAAATGAGCCAGATGTGAAATAAATCAGCTAGCCAGCGACCGCCCAAACCGCAGCCTGGCACATGCGCCCGAGGCGAGAGCGTAGCCAATGAGACAACCTTGACTGCATATCAATCTGAAGTAAGGCCACCCAGGTTTCAAATGTTAAAAGACAGCTTATTCCCCAGAGCATGACGACTGGAAGCTGGCTGATTCATTCGAGAAAGCAGTTCTCCTCATCGGCAGCAAGCATCCCCAGACATCAAAGCCCGAGAAGAATCGTCAGTCGTGGGTCAAACACTGTGCCCGAAGCGTGCCAGGGAACCGGGTCTGACAGCTCCAACTTCCCCTTTCGAGGCTCATCAAGCCGCCGAATCGCCACAAACTCGCGGTCTCTCAGGATGACCCCATAACCCTCGTGATGTTGCCGCATGTTTCAAGTGAAATTTGACATAAGGGTCTGCTCAAACTTAAGTGAATGGGAAGGTAGACTGAAACTTGATGGGTGGAAACAGTCCGATGCCTGGGGCATCAAGTCAATCGCCCAAAGCAACCAAGCACCCGCCTCTTACTTCATTCTTCATTCTACATGTCTCCACGCTCGTCACTTCCACTTACATTTCATCAATTTTCCATCGAGCTCTATCCTACCTCATTAGAATTGGTTGCAGAAGAGCTCGAGCTTTCGCCTTCTGAGCTCACCTTTCTTGAAACTTTCAAGGAAGGTGAGAGCTCGCTGATTTGCAAAGTCGCCGTGCACGGAATGGACTGTGTTATGAAAGTGGTGAGTCGCAACAGTCATTTCTCTCCAATTTGCTCGTCATTCTGACACCGCCTAGTTCCATGAGTATACTAAAAGGGAGTGGGATAACCCCGATATCGAAATCAGCATGTGCATGCGCGAGGTGACAGCCTACGAACGCCTAAAAGCGAAGGGACTCTGCGCGCGAGGGGTCATCCCTGACTACTACGGCTACATGACGTTTGCGGACCTGACACTCTGGCCTGAGCTGCACATGTTCACTGACGACGAGCTGCCCCCAAAGGCGATTCTGATCGAGTGCGTCCCCGGCATGCAACAACTTGAACTCATCAACTACACCCAGTCAAGGGTGAAGACGTTGCGGAACGTTCTGTCCGAGATCAACGCGGCGAAGGTATTGCACAGTGACATTGCCCCAAGGAATATGATGGTATGCTCTGGAGAGACGGAACGAGTGCTTTGGATTGACTTCGATCTGTCGGTCGTATTTCCCGAGGACGAGCCTCTGACAGAAGAGCATCAAGAGTGGGTTGAGGATGAGGCTGCCTTAATGGACGAGTTTGTGGACTGGCTGGTATGTATAAGGATTGCTTTTGATTTGCTGAGTCTGACATTTCCATAGTCCCAGGACGCAGTGGAAGGGAAACTTCACAAGGCATTCCGTTGCTACTACTATGGGACGTAAACCTATTGGAAGCGGATCAAGATGGGACTACCAGGCACGCCAGAATCAGTATTGCCAGGTCCTGTCGAACACGACAAAGATATTGGAGGCAACGAAGAGAACCAAGACAACGAAGACCACGAAGACCACGAAGGCATCAAGGGCACTGAATATATAAAATCGTGGATCAGTCTCTCAGGAACTGCCATGTGGACCAAGTGTCAGTGATCTTGTCAGAGATATCTTGTAACTGTGGGATGGATTTGATGATGACCTATGCTCTCTGACGATGCGAGACATTCCGCGCCTTCGTCCTGGACTGCGAGAGTCTTGTGCAAGGGCTACCCCGGCAAAAATGAGGACTGAAAGACACTTGGGTTACTCCAATGCACCTTTTTTATTTCCCCTGCCGAACTCCGTTGTTGTACTGTACAGCGGTAATCAAGTAGCAAATCGAACCTAGGCCACGACACAGTAGTGAATGAGAGAAGTCTTCCTCGTCCACTAGCGCAAAGATTGCCTATTGCAGCGAGCGAACCGTGTTTGTTATACTTATATAATCCTCTTAATCCCGCCCCTGTAGTCATTCACTACCCCGCCACAGGGTAAACATTACCATGGTAGACCACATATCCAAAAGCTGAACGTTATGCATTCTTCTACCCCAAGACAGTTTAGACCCGGAAGAAAATACTGCATCTTGAATCACACTCCCTGACCGGGGCCAACTCAATCTTATTCCAAACGGTAGTCGACAAAAAGATGAATTGGAACTGCTATGACTATCCAGAATTAACAGTAGTCAATTACGTGCACGACACGTTTATTAGCTAAGCTCTCCTTTCTACAACGAGAGCGTGGTATCATAAGAGACTTGTCGATTATGCATAGTCTGTAAATGGATTGTTTTTGGTAGTTCGATTATTTCGCGCGTATACAGAGCGCATCACCGGGTACTGTGGATCTGAGAGGATAACTGGAGTCCCTCCTGGATGACTCTGACTGACGCAAGCCGCTTCCAGATTCCCCGCATCACCTCCTCTGTCAGTAGACCGTTGAGTCCCCTCGCTCGCCACAAACTCGTACCTTCTCTTGCATGCGCATTCGCTACAAACTTCCCGGCCGACCAACGCTCTGGTCAGGGGAAAGGCTTACAGTGGTTAAAAATCTATTTTACACGAGCGACTCAGCACATTCTCCGCCGAGCCAAAGATTGAATTCCGGCCACAGGGAAGGTTGTGATCTTGCTGAACATTAAGTAAAACCTTACCAAAGCTCGGTGAGAAAATAGATCCAAAGGATAGCTTTTTGATGAATACTAGGCTGATAATTGGGTCCAACCAGTTACTTTCTTTCAATGAGCTACGAAGTCGCAAGTGATGATTGTGTGGAATCGGACCAAGATTCCAGAATCTTTGCACAGGCTCTATGTGGATAGCGATGAGTTCTGCAGCGCCGAAGATGCGAATGCGCTCAGTGGCTTGTCGGGGTGGCCGACGTGATAAAGCTTGAGAAGGCTTTCGATATCGTGCATTCGTTCGGACTCTGCGGTGCCTTGAAAAGACTGGTACTTGGAGCGATGACTTGACTAGAACGTATGCGAATTGTTTCACCAGCCGATGAAAGAGGTCGACTCTCAACTACGAGGGGCAAACACAGCCCAGCTGACGAGGGTAATCCACGCTTGGTTCGTAGAACAATCTTCGGTCATGTGGACTACTTTGTGAGACTGTGTGTCACGCACCACACCCAGTCAGTAATTACGAGGCCTAGAACATTCTTCTCGCCATGGGCACAGCATTTAAAGTCTCGGATCCCCTCCTCTCATGATATCATTCTGAACACACACTCGATTGCCTTCATCACGATTCAATTATTATAAGAGCTAGTAACAGCACTTCTCACATCGACAAAGGAAACAGAGAGGCAACGCATCCAGCAATATTTACTCCATGGTCCAAACAACCCTTTTGAACATTTATCTCAACCTGACATTTACGAATTCAACATGCCAAATCCAATGAGCAAGTCAGATAGCTCGCGAATCCAGTCGACCCAGGTAAAGCCCTCTGTCGATCCCGACAATCCAGCTTCTCATTGATGAACAGGCCAAAGGCGGGGGTGACATGAGCTCAGGTGGTTTTGCAGCGCGGGCTCAATCCGCTGGCGATCGCTCAACGAGCTCCAACACAGGCGCAGCGTACTCGTCTTCTGGTTCAGCCCAGCAAGGCACCACCCGCTCGGGTGGCGGATCTCAGCAGTCGGGTGCTGCAAAGAGATGAGGAAGTGCAGCGAAGAGTGAAGGCGGGGTTCACGGAATGTAGTACATGGTGATATTTCATGATTTTGTCATCGGGTACTTGGTCGTTTTTCACGAGATTCGAGACCATGTATGTAAATTGATCGTTGGTCAGGTAGCCGGATTGTGCTAGAAGCTCCTGCCATTTTCCAGTTACTTTGACCGGAAATGTTAAATTTACAGGGTGTTAAATACCTAACCTAGCCAAAAACCTTCCAAACACGCGATACACAAACACTGTTCCATGATAGTGATGATGTAGCCATTTGCTCCAAATTTATGTACGGACGTGCTAAGCTCTCAATTTCAGACATCGGACCTTTGCTGATCATTCAAGATAAAGATAGATTCGCTCGCTCGAGAAAGACTCTCATTGCTGCACTCATTAGGATATATCGACAAGCTATAGATGCTTATGTTGATTTAACATTTGTCCAAAATAGGACCGGCTTGGGCGGACCGGCTCGACTGGCGTAAAGTATATTTATCAGGGGTTCGTCTGTTGCGGGGCATAGCCGGGGCACGAAAGGCTCTGCTCCCGGCTTGAAAATCGAATGATGCCGTTCCATGCCCCAGGTAGTGATGTACACCGGGTTTACTTTTCATGCCATGAGTAAGAACGAATGACAAATGACAAATCCGCAATTTCCCACATTAGTAATGCTTATCGATAACTAAGATAGGCACCAAGCAACCAACACAAGGCTGACTGACAGGTTGACAAACAAACAAGCAGTGGATCCTGTCAAAAGTACGTCTTGGTGGATATAAGTACCTAAGAGATTATGACCTACTTCAATGCAGAATCAATCATTCAATAAGTCTGAGTTTCGAAAATGTCGCATAACATTCTGATCACCGGCGCCTCGGGCTACCTCGGCGGGACGATCCTCGCCCGCTGGAACAACGCCAAGCTCCCGCCGTACAAAACGCTCTACGCCCTCGTCAAGACACCAGAGCAAGGCGAGAAAGTCAAGCAGTACGGGGCCGAACCCTTGATAGCGAACATCAACGATCATGAAACCGTCACCCAGCTCATCGTTGACAACAACATCACCATCATCTACTTCCTGATCGATGCCTTCACTGGACAGCATCAACCCACCTTGATCAAGGCACTGGGACTGGTCAAGCAAAGGACAAATCTGGACGTACATTTCCTGCAGACAACGGGTGCCAAGCTATTCAGCCGCCATGCCGGAATCCCGACCGACCGAACATTGTTGGATACCGATCCGGAGCTGTATGACATTGTCAAGAATGCGACACCGCCGCATGAGTTCGTCATCGAGGTGTGTACAACCTGATTTGGGCATATTGCACGAGATTACTAAGTGTTCATACAGCCAGCAAATGCCAACCTCAACGTGATCGACATGTCAGAGGCCCATGGAGTGCGGAGCTACATCTTTGCGCCCTGTCTGGTATACGGACGAGGGGAAGGATTCGGCAATCAGATTTCGATCCAGGATGTTGACATTGTGCGAGCCGCGAAGAAGTTGCGTCGCGTGTACCGCGTGGATATCGATAATCCGGTGAGCAGAGCTAGTTTTGTTCCGAGTGTATTTCATGGGAGACACCCACTGACACACTTCTAGAGCTGGCCAGTAAGCCACGTCGCCGATACCGCGGACCTGTATCTCCAGATCCTGCGCAAGATTCTCTCGGGTGACGAGATTGGTTATGGGAAGAACGGGTTCTTTCTTGCGGCCTCGGGCAGTCTGCCGTGGAACGATGTCTACGCCGCCATGGCTAAGGGACTGGCTAAGCACAATGTGGTCGACGATGAGGTCGTCATGGATGCAGATGAGTCGGTGTTGGCTCGAATGGGTGAGGCGCTTGGCGTTCCACCGTCGGCTGTTCCGGTGGTCCTGGGTGGGAAGTATGTGCATCGACGTTGCTCCGCTTCTTTGTCGGTATTTAATGCTAATGATTCGAAATAGGTGTTCGTTCACTGCTGTACACGGCAACCAGATCGGCTGGACTGCTAAGTACCCACCGGAGCATTTCTTCGAGGTTGTGGATGAAGAAGTCGATCTTATTGTACAGCACCTGGTTGATTAGAGCGAATGTGACTATACAAAATGAAGTTTGTGCATAGAGATAATTTGTTACGATACTTGGTCAAACGGAACTGTCGAAAATCATAGACTATTCCACTTTCCAGCCTTGCGCATTGCTCTGAATTTGCTGCTGTTTTGATATATTTTTAGAGGTCAACTTAAACGGTCTTGAGGCACCTCTTCTGTAGAAAGGTGCGGGAGACGCTATTCCGATACTTGCTCACAGCATCACTCCCTCCGGAAACCTCAGAAGATGTACATTTAGTGAACCATGCGAGCTTTTGCTGGGCCTGCACAAGCACTAAAACGAAGTTCAACAACATACTCGAAGGTTTGCGATCTTCGAAAAGTGGGTCCAAACCTCGGCAAGAATCAGATAAGGGTTAGTCATCCCCACAATCCTGCGCCCAGCATCGACTCCATCCCCAGATTGAGAGAACCTGTCAACTTTCCCCTCCCTTCCAGCACAATCACACCACCATGGCCAAGTCCAAATCTGCCAAGCGAAAGCGCAGCAATCAGGTCGATCTGCCGCAAAAGGCGTCTAAGACCACCTCAATTCTAACGCCCCCGCCAGATGGAGGGTCTCTGGAGCCGAAAAATCTCCAGACGGTCGTCTCGGACGAGGAGCTCGATATCACGATTGAAACGCTCACCACCCTCACACAGTACCCCAGCCTAACCAAGTCGAAAGCATGCAAAGATCTCCGGGCCGCGGTCTATGACTTTCGCCAGGCATGTACGACAGGCGTGAACAGCGCTGGTCCGTCTAACTCTTGTCTTTCCTTGAAATTCGCCACTGACTCGTACTTTCACAGAGGGCGCTAATCTGACCGCACGCATCACCGGCGCTATGGCCGACGGGAAATACACTGACGCCAGGGTCCTACTCGCAGAGATGAGAATCAGGGGGGAACAACCGAAAATCGGAGCTTTGTGTCGTTGGGTGAGAGATCTGGACGTCGTGAGTGGCCTCTCCACGCAGCCCGGCATGCAGGGGAAAGCCACTATCGAGCGCACCGCCAGGGATTTGGACCTTCTCAGCGTTCTTGATGCTGTTCTACGCGTCAGCACCCCCATCGACTTAAGCCCGGAAGCGATTCCATCCACCTCTCCCATTGCCTTCCAATCCATCTGGGACCTCCGACCATCGAGCCCACCACTTGAGGTCTACGCCTCCGTCCTCGACAAATCCATCCTCACATCGGCCCCAACCTCCCCCTCCGCCCTCCGCATCATCGAAACAACGCCCGGCCCCCAGCGCAAGCCCCCTAACCACCACCCCGCCATCCTTTATACCACTGCTCCCAACGCGGTCGCACTCTCGTCCACACCCCCACCCACAAAATACAACCCCCACCCCTATGTCCCGGGCCTGGGCCTCGCCCTCGACATCCTCTCTCCCGCCGAATGCAAAGCCATCATTGCCGCCGGCGAATCGGTCGGCTTCCTGCCCGACGCGCCCCTCCGCGAAGACGGCGACATGAGCATCCTGGCCCACAACTTCTACTGGGTGGTCGATACCGCCTTCCACGACCTGCTCTGGGCCCGCATCGCGCCCCACGTACCCCAGACCATCAACGGATGTCAGGTCCGCGGCCTCAACCGCCGCTTCCGCGTGTACCGCTACGTCCCCGGGGCCGAGTACCGGTGCCACATCGACGGCGCCTGGCCGCCGTCGGGCATCACCCCGGAGGACAAATACGTCTACGACGCCTCGCCGGAGGACAACCGGCAGAGCTCGATGTACACCTTCCTTCTTTACTTGAATGATGAGTTCGAGGGTGGGGAGACGACCTTCTTCCTGCCGGCGGCCAGGGAAGGCACGCTGAATGCCTACCCCGTGCGGCCGGTGATGGGCGCGGTCGCGTTGTTCCCGCACGGGGAGTCGAACGGGGCGTTGTTGCATGAGGGGACTGGGGTGAGGAAGGGGGCTAAGTATATTATTAGAAGTGATGTAGAATACGATGTCAAGCCGGGACAGGGATGAGAGGATGCGCCGGCGCATTTGGTGCCCCGCCATCCCTGCTTTGTTTCCGCTGTTCGGCCGAAAGGCCGAAGACCCGGTCGGGATCCCCACGGTGGGTCCGATCGGATACTATATGTTGTATAGCTGTAGAGAACAGCATAGACCTTAGACTCGCGAGAATAGAGTCACTGTTCCTGTCTCGGTCGTCATCCACCGCAGCTACTCCCTCCGAGGAGCCTTGGGTTCCAACTGGTGCGGTGGTTAAGGGGTTGTTTGGGTTCCCCTTGTCCCAACTTGCGATCCAGAGTGACCTGAATCACTCGCATCCGAGTAGTGGGGGCATCCTCTTTCTTCTCTCTGCGTTTCGAAGACAGACAAAAGGAAGCGAAGTCTTCACCCAGCAACATATTCTCGACGACTGCGCTACTATTCCGACCACCAAAATAAGTACCTTCTCCAACAAATCCGCAAACATAAGTCTTGAAAACCCTTGCAAATCGAATTGAGTGGCATAGTGAATCATTTATCGAGTCACGACTTCCCTCCTGCATAATGAGACATCAATTCCCAGACCATCACGAATCGTCTATCGCGCAAGAGACGCACGCAGGGCACAGGCACATGGCAATGGCATTATAAATCTTTCCATATCTACAACCACCTGCTTGTGGAAATAAATGCATAGATCACCTCCCGTATCTCCCCAAAACTCCCCTGTTTCTCCCTCTTCCTGACGCATATGTACAGAACACATCCCCCATCCCCACCCCAAAGGTCCACACCCCTCACAAAACGGTGCTCAAATCCACCAAACTAGCCGTAACCTGGTTATCCGCGCCGTTCAGCACGCCACCGCCCGCGATCAGCAAATACCGCCCGTTGTCCTCGCTGAGCACGCGCAGATCCCGGGTGTAGCTGGTGCTCTCCGGGGTGGCGATCTCGGTCCACTCGCCCTGGCCCAGGTTTTGGTTGACGAAGATCGAGCTCTGGGTGCCGCTGCTGGCGATGATGGTGCCGTGTTTGCCGCCGTAGGGGCTCCAGACCACGTAGGGCGAGGAGGTGGGCTGCGTGCCGTCGGAGACGACCAGGCGCTGGCCCTCCGCGGCGGCGATCTTCTCCGGGTCGCTGGCGATGCGGAAGTAGAGCGGGAAGCTGTAGGTTGAGGTGTTGAAGAAGGAGCCGTACTCGTAGATGTAGATGTAGTCTTTGTTCGGGAGCTGGAGTTGGTGGATGGTTAGTGGGGGGTGGTATAGAGGGGGGGGGTTGGTTGGTTAGAGGGGGCTCTGACCTGGGCGAGGATGGGCATGCCGGGGCGGTCAGTGTAGGTTGGGTAGGCGCTGTTGTTTGTCAGTCTTTTGGTTTGAGGGTGATAGGGATGTAGGGGCGGGGTGAACGTACACGTCATCGACGACGGGGCCCCAGTTCTTCAGGTCGGTGGTGGTCTGGTGGACGAGCTTCTGGCCGTAGGTCGCGTTGTCGCGTTGGTCGGAGTAGTAGCAGATGAGCTTGCCCTTGCTGATGTTGGGTTAGTAACTGGGAAGAGAGACTGGGTATGGGCTGCGGGTAAGGCAGTCAATGGTTGATACTACGTACTGCACTAGCAAGAACGGCTCCCACACCGGGGTCAGGCCGTTGTTCGGCAACGCCTCGCCGCCCTTGGCGATCTCGGAGACGAACTCCCAGGTCACACCGTTATCGCGCGAGGCATACAGGTCGAGCTCCGTCGTGGACAGGTCCTCGGGGATGCTGTTGCCGGCGAGCAGAATCGTGCCTGCGGGGTAGCCACCCAGCTTCTGATCCAGGTAGTAGAGGAAAGGCTGGTAGCGCAGCCCGATCTTGTTGTGCGTGTCCTCGACCCGCGAGATCTCCTTCCAGGTGGCGCCGTGGTCGGTGCTGCGGTAGATGGGGAAGTAGACGAGGCCGTCAGTGTCGCCCGAGTAGTTCTCCCACGTCGAGAGAAGAACGCCGGACGGAAGCTCTAGCGTACGTGCATAAAGCGTGCGGGGAATGGTGTAGTTGGAGGGCGGGTCGAAGATGACGGTCTCGCTGTAGGTGGTGATGGTGCTCGGCTTGGACTTGGGCAATGGGTTTGCCGTCGTCAAGGGTGACAGGAGCAGGGGCAATACCAACGAGGCGAGGCCGGTGAGCTTCATCTTGCTTGAGTATGGTTTTCCAATTGACTCTCGCACTTGATGGACGAGTACTCCGCAAATTTTGCGGGGGAATTTATAGTCCTCCGGGTTGAGGAAGTTGCGGGGTGCATATCCCGCCGGAGTTGTTCTTCTAGGGCTAGCATCCCATTCGGGAGATTTTCCGTCAATCGGGAGGGGAAGCCCGCCACATGGGCTCTTCACCCCATTCCCCTGCTACCTGGGGATTTTTCGCTTTACGTCATGGCGTCTTTAGCACCTGCAGGCCATTCTTGCCGAGATGAGGCAATAAGGAATGATTTTGCAGTCATTCAATTGCAAACAGCGATGGCGCCACGTAGTGAGTGAGCCCTTGGGAACATACCGCAAACCCCGCAAGTGCTTCAGTCTTGGCATTTGCTCGGTACTTCTGGGCGTCTTGTTGACCTCGGCATGTATTGCGAAGCCGGTGGACTAATTGCGCCAGCTATCCAGGTGCTGGATTCTGAGTCGCGGTCTGAGTGCTACATGGGAAGCAAGAGTGCAAGTGTGCAGGGGTTTGAAGTGTTCTGCACATTGTTCCTGACGATCACTAGCAGTGGCTGGCTGCTACCGCTCGTATGTCAGCATCATGACAGGTCGAGTTGGTGTCATGGACAAACGCTATGAAATGACGATCAGTCGATGTTTTCGCTTGCCGTCAGCTTCCCTCCGCATTCAAGTACAGTTACACTAGTAAAACCGGATATTTCACTCCGCAGGGGAATAGGAGACTTTGAAATTTAGCTGCCTAAGCGATCTAAACAAGCTGGGATTAATCTTGGATTTACGATCAACTGTGACCATCGATTCCTTTCCTTTCTGTCTGTCGAAGTATAAAGAGAGCGACACTCAGCTGGACTTCAGACAGATGCAGATGTTCAAGAGATGTCGTTGCTGACGCGAGTTTGAAGTTCTAGACAAAGCTCCTCGCCGCGATGGATTACGCACTTGTACCAATGGAAATTGCTATCGAAGATCCCGTTATGAACTAACTATCTTGACGAAAGGACTGATCAAAATCGCAAACTAGAAAACCTACCCCATCTTCTCTGGCTATTGTTACTGCCGATATACATCAGTCGAATGTTTGAATCACCTGTCTGCTCCGCCTCTTAGTTGGAAACAATATCCTTTGACAGGTTCAGAGACTACCATGCGAATGTCTGGAACTTAGAACACAGTTGTATTGTGGTTGATGAACTGTCGAGCATGCAGGGTGTGGCTCATGTCAGCCAGCAGAGTGGCTAACGTCAGCCACAATCTTTGTGGAATCCTATTGGCAGGAGTTTAGGAGATTAGGTGGATTTCCGTGTTCGGCTTATGCCTTGGCGGGATCGGATGGGATTAAGCCCCCGCTGATCTCATTGAAGTGCTCTTATCGCCGTCTCAACCGCGATGAACCTAAGGTTCTGGTACTGATTTAAATACCACACGCACTGCTAGATTATTATTGTCTTCTGTACCAAAGAATCAGAATTCAACGGACATCTCTTTCAAACCCCTCAACACCTCATCTCAACATCCCACCAACTTAACATCTCGACTAACTCAACACCAAAGCTTATCGCCGTTAGCCTGATACCCAATCCACGAACCGCCGGCGCACCAAGACACCACCAATACAATCACCCATCCGTTGACATCCCACAAGAAACAATTGTCCCAAAAGCAGCGATGGTGACCCTCCACACCATCCAAGCGCACAATGCGACCCTCAAATCCGCGATCCCCAATCTCGTCGCAGTATTTGGTACGCCGAATCCCTTCCCTCAATACAAAACAAATCCCCGCTGGAATCACGTCCTCTCGCACCCATCCTCCCCTTAATATACATCAACACTAACACCCCAAAAGTAGGCGGCACCTCCGGCATCTCCCTCTCCACCGCCCAGACTCTAGCACGGTACACGCCATCCCCCAAGATCTACCTGATCGGCCGCAGCCAACCGGCCGCCGATCGCGCCATCGCTGACCTGAAAGCCATCAACCCGGCCGCGCAGCCCACCTTCCTGCAAGCCGACATCTCCCTTCTCACGAATGTCGACCGCGTCTGCGCCGAGATCGCCGCCCGGGAGTCCCGCCTCAACCTCCTCTTCATGACCCCGGGGTACCTGACGCTGAAGGGCCGCGACGAGACCGCCGAGGGGCTCGACCGGAAGTTCGTGCTGCATTACTACGCGCGGATGCGCTTTGTGACCCAGCTCATGCCGCTGCTGACGGCTGCTGCTGCTGCGGAACAGCAAGGTACTGGTGGGCTGTCGCGGGTGGTCTCGGTGCTGGATCCGGTGGTGGCGGTGCGGGCGGGCGGGGCGGGGGAGCTCGACTTCAAGGATCTGAGTCTCAAGGAGACGTTCACGCTCAAGAAGTGCGGGCATCATGCGGGCCTGATGGGGAATTTCTTCCTCGAGGAGTTGTCGCGGCGGTACCCTGCTACTTCGTTTGTGCATGCGTATCCGTCCGGGGTGGCGACGGGGGCGATGCGCGAGCTGCCGGCGGGGAGGGTCTTGACGGCGGTTTTGGGGAAGGTGTTGGCGCCTTTCTTGGTGCCCATTGGCGAGAGTGGCGAGCGCCATTTGTTTGCAGCCACGAGTCCGAGGTATCCTTCGCGGCTGGTGGGGGAGGCCAAGGGGGCCGGGGATGGGGATGTTGCTGTTGGCAGTGATGGGGTTAAGGGAGGTGGGTCTTACTGGTTGAATTGGGATGGGGAGGCGTATCCTAGAAATAATAAAATTGAGAGGACGAGAGGGCAGGGCGCGGTGGAGAAGGTGTGCGAGCATACCCAGGAGGTGTTCAAGCGGGTCTGCGAGGAGGGCAAAACATACCCGTGATTTGTGATATTAGTATATTCATCCTGACAGCTACCCACAGAATAATTATTAATCTCTCCTCCAAAATAGTCCAAGTCAATATTGAAATACCTCTAACACTTAAGCTCCTTTGGCCAGCCATGCTTGATTCCCTTGCTGTTCAAAGACCGGCCTCTAGGGATATGCCCGGCCGGCGCTCTTCCAGGACTTTAAGCGTCTGCTCGAAGACCTTCTTCTGTACCCTCCGCCCACCCTCGGTATAGATCCAACCTTCAACATTCTGATTGTTCCCGTCACTTTGAGACTCGCCATGGGAGCTCTTCGGAGCCGAGGCCGCGAGCACCAATGTCCTCGCTCCAACTTCAGTTGTCCGCTCAAAGATTCGACGGGCTATCCATGCGATCAGCGAAGGCGGCTCGGCTCGAGCAAGGTCCGAGGCGCAGAGCCCCGGATTTACTATGTTGATAATCACCGGTGGGGTGCCATCAGCATCGTCTTCTTTCTTTGTACTCAGTCTTGCCACCAGCTCCCGCGTAAAGAGTACTTCAATCAATTTCGTGGCTTGATATCTTTAGGTCATAATGATCAGCGACCCACCTTATGGTTCTAATCGTACAAGCACAAGCACATTAAAAGGACAGTATCATACCTAGCCTGCTGACTGAACCGCTCCCTCACCTTCAGCCCGTCATAAAGATCCGGGGCCTTGACCTCCGGAAAGGCAGTCAACCGATGCGCTTCGGAACTCACAATCACCAGGTGCGGGTAGACAGCATCCGCCACAGCGAGCCGCCTTGTCGCCTGGAGCTTTGGGAGCAGCATCAGCGCCAAAAGAAAGGTGTTCAGCACATTGATCTGCACCGCCTGCTCATGGCCTTCACAAAGCGTCCATTCCCCGGTGTTGATCCCTGCATTCTCAACCAACACGTCGACTCGATCTAGCTCACGCTTTACTCTTTCTGCGAAGGCTATTGTGGACGCAGTGCTCGACAAATCCAGCGACCAGACTTCGATCGCACCCGCGTCCGAACGATGCGTGATGTTGCTGCGCAGGATGTCCTCCTTGGCGGCCTCGCCTTTGGCCGTGTTGCGGACCGCAAGGATCAGCCGCGCGCAGCCCAGACGGTAGAAGTGGCGTGCGGCCTCGAGGCCCAGGCCTGTGTTCGAGCCCGTGACGATGATGGTCTGGTTGGCGAAGGAGGCGCGGGGGTATGGCGGGGTGACGAACAGCTGCGAGTACAGGAAGGTGCGTAGACCGGCGCCTATGTTTGGGGAGATCACGAACTCGGAATCTCGGGAGGCCATGATGAATGCGGAGAGTTTGTGCATCGATCGCTCTCAGACAGCGCGCAGCTCAACGGCGGTTCTTATACTTATCGATACATACTGGTGTGACTAAGGATAGGGCACGGTGTAGATGTGGGCAAACCGGGATCCGATGAAGACGATCTTCGGCTACCGGGTTCTACACTACCCGACAATGATTATGCATGCTTACGCAGCAGTGCCTATTGTCTACATTAAACATAGTCTGGTCTTTGGGTGAAAAGCATGTAGGTATAAGCACTTGCATTAGCGTATGCTCACCGGCGAAGAGCTATGACGCGATGTGCCGCAGTAATGATCAAATCCAGGGTGCAGTGCATACACCCGCCCGCCCTGAGTTCTGTTCTAAACCTTTCTCTATTTTGTAATTTACTTTCCATCCTGCCGGTAGAAAACGTTCATGTCTCACTTCTAAGCACTTTCGTGAGTACTGTGTCTAGCGGTACAATGATGAAGTCACATACCGCTCTAGAAAGTAAGTGCACTTAACATCGTCTATATCTTTCAAAAGTAAACGTCATGCTTGGTATGATGCAATTCGTCGAAGCAATGTCCATCAAATATCACGGTCAATTATTCTTGGTAGAACAATAACGCAGAAACCATATAACTTTAGATATCGAGGAAGGCTACACTGCTCTAGTTGCTTACAAAGGCGCTTATCAATGTGCTTACAAAGGTCATTATATTCCTAATCAGAATTACTAAGTCGCTAGTGAAGAGCGTCAAGAAAATCGTACTCTCAGGATGTAGTGGTTTTATCTACTACGGCATATAAATTGTCAACAGAATACAACGTATGCTTCGCACAGCAAGACATCACACAAAGCTCCAACCGCTAGGCTCTTCCCCCGCTAGCGACGCTCAGGATATTCCGCCACTCCAGGTCATCTGGGGCATCCGCGTGAATGGAAAGCTTGATGTCGAGCTCGTTCCGTAACTGCTCCTTTGTGGTCGCATATAACATACACAACTTTGCAGAAAGGTCAACCTGAATCCAGTGGGCTGTCAGCGATAATGTGGTGGAGCTCACCTTCAGTGATGTTTCCCGGGGGACCCAGCTGATAAACACCAGGCGGGAGCGCTTCCCGTCCTCCCCGAGGTCATATTCCACGTCGTACACCGCGTATCGTGGCATCGGCTTCCCCGTGCTGTCTTCTGCACCGCGCAGGGTGTGGAGGAAGACCTCGTAGTTGGGTTCGCTAGAGGATTCGCATAGTTCGACTGTGGTCTCGTCGTCGGAGATCTTGTAGATCACAAACCGGGGCTTCTTGGGCCCTCTGCTGAAGCGGAGTGACCGGGACGCAGTGATGCATTCATCCGAGATCATGACTCTGTGTTGGTTAGATTTAAATTGGAAGAGATGAGTCCAAGGGCCAGGGAAGTTTAGGACGCACCCTGATTGCATCTGGAGTTGGCGGATTGTCAGTGCTGAGTTGGACATCTCATGATTCGGGCTGCACTCACCGACATGTTGAAGTAGTTCTGATGATCTGAAAAAGTAACTTGTTCTTGCAATGTGGAAGCACCATTTGAGTTATCCAAGGAAAGGTAAAGGTGAATGCTTCCTATATAGGTTCTTTGTGCTAGGCAGCTTTGAAACTCAACAACGCCAACAACTTGCCGCTCGTCAACAGGCAACAGCAGTCGTGAGGCTAAACATTGCAGAACAATCCAGCATCTCTGTCACTAAAAATAATGGTTGCCTGAAAAATGTGTATTCGTACACTATGGAAGTATTCATCCTAAGCCAAGTATTTTGACGTCGTAGGACTGGCGACGACAGCATCTACTGCGACGTGTAATCAGGCAGCAACTAAGGAATTGTGTGTGGATCGAATGCTTGCACTGCGGCCGCGCAACAAATGTATAGCATTGTACCCCTAGACAAAGAATAGTTCGTGGTTCTTCGCGATCGCTATCCATATTCCTGTTTCTATCACATTTCCATCAAGCAACGGACAGTCTGACGCTAACAACAGCGATGCAACAACATGAGGCTCATTTTCCAGGCGCGCCGTAGCTCAATTGAAAAAGCAAAACCAGTAAACAACCTCTCTATCTGCCGTAGCAGTTCTAAAATCTAATTATTCACATGACGCATATATACTGTACAGTAGTCCAACCACGGAACCACTCAATTCTTCAAACCACCCTCCTTCTCTTCCTCTTCCTCGCCATCTCCTACTCCCAACCCAAACATGGCCAGACTATTCCTCCACGCTGCCTCAGCAACCACCTCCACCTCGACTCCCTTCAACCCCGCCACCACCCTCGCCACCCGCTCCATCGTACAACTCTCATTCCTCCCCTTGACCATCAACCCCTCCACAAACCTATTACTCTTCCTCGCCGCGGGCAGGGGCCTGGCCCCCTCCAAGAACGGCTTGATGGCCTCGTCCTCCACAATCTCACACCACGGCGCATCCGTCTCCAACTGCAACACCTCCAACGGCACCTGCCGCACCATCTCGCGCCCCGCCTCCGTCCGAAAACTCACCCCGTTGACACTAATCCCAAACCCCAACCCCACCAACACGCGCATCTGCTCCGCCGACCCGGCAAACGAATGCACCAGCCCCCGCCTCCCAACCGGCAGCCGCTCCAAATACGGCCGCAGGATCGCCACCACATCCTCGCACGCCCCCTCGCCCCGCACATGCAGGAAGAGCGGGAGATGCAGCTCCACCGCGATATCAAGCTGGTCGCGGAACGCGCGCTGCTGGGTCGGCTTGTCGGCGCGGTCGAGATACACGTAGTCGAGGCCGATCTCACCGAAGGCGACGAGCGGGGACGGGTGGGTGGTGGTGGTGGCGGCGAGGAGGGCGTGGCCTAGCTCGCGGAGGCGGGTGAGGTAGGAGCCAGTTGCGGCTGCGGCTGCGGCTTCGTCGGCGTAGATCTCGCTGGCGTGGTAGGGGTGCACGCCGAGCGTCATGGTGCACATGGTCGGGTACTCGCGGGTGATGGCCAGGTTCTGCGATGCGCCGGCCAGGGTCATCGTGGTCAGGAGCATCTTCTCGCAGCCGTGGGCGCGGGCGCGCCCGACGACGTGCGCCCAGTCCGGTGCGTGGTGAGGTTTGCCGCCGCGGTAGAGGCCGTGGAATTGGTCCGCCGTGTAGGTTACTGCTACCTTTTTGCTTTGTTAGTTTCTGGGGTTGGGGGTTTGGGGAAGGAAAAGGGGACTTGCATCTGCGAACCGCATTTTGCGTTGTGGGGGTGGTTGTGGTCGTGCCGGTAGGGAGATGATTTTGGAGATGGCGTGGCTGGATTTTCTGCATATTAGCGACTGTCTTGGTTGTGGTCGGGCTAGGAGACTCACCGTGCAGCAATGCTGGGGCGCATGTAGTGTTGAGTGCAGGCTTCAGACTCGAAGAGGATGGACATTTGCTCGGAGATTATTTTAGCTTGTCTCCCTCAATTGCAGGTTTCTTTAAAGCCCTTTTAGTATTCGTCCGTGTCCTGTGTCTACTCCACTCCGCTTTGCTGTTTTCTGCGCCGTGCCCACTTTTCTGCTCCCCTTCCGTCCCCACTCGGGTACCTGTACCCGGATAGCAGTATGCAATTGCGCATAGTCAGACAAATCCGAGAGATGGACAAGAGGAGAAAATGAGACACTGATAAATTCATCTTCATCTATTGGATCTATCGTGGGTCCGTTCCCGCTCAGCCCAGTCTAGGATCTCATCGTCCACCGTCCACAGCATCCGCCATCTCGCCCAGAGTATCGAACTTCCAGTCAAAGATAGTCTCCTCCATGTTCCCCATCGTAGCCCCAGGCCTCTCAATCCAGACCGACTTGATTCCCGCCTTGCGTGCAGGGTAATGATCGTGAAACTGACTCTGTGCTGTCTGCAAAACCTGGCTCTTCTCGACTCCGAACTTCTCTTTGACCGCGTGCAACATGTGCTCGAAGTTCTTTAGGTCGGGTTTGTAGCTCCCCACGTCCTGCGCGGTGATGATCAAGTCGAACTCGAATCCCTGGAGGCTGCCAGCGTTCGTCTTGGCGAATGATTCGCGGTCGACGTTGGACAGCACCACGAGCTTGTAATGCTTCGAGAGACGTTTGAGCGCGTCGACGGTATCCGGGAAGGCAGGCCAGTTGCCGACCGATTCGCCGAAGCGGATGCTGTCGTCGCGCGAGGGGGCGGGGAGGCTCAGACGCGCCGCCCAGGTGGGGTGAATGGTGGTCAGGAGTTCAGAATAGGGCATGTCGGGGGTCTGTTCCTGCTGCGCATGTTCCAGCTCGTGGTAGACGGTCAGGAGGTGGTGGCGCGAGAATTGCTCGTTGGCTTTGTCCAGGGTGGGCTGGAAGGCGGTCAGGATGCCGGTTTCCCAGTCCACTAGCGTGCCGTAGACATCGAATGTGAGGAGACGGTAGTCAGATAATTGAGCCATGGTGGTTAGTGGAGATTGTGCTATGATTGTGCTGATGTGTGTGCAAAGATGCCAGGAACGTGAGGATAGATATACATCATGGCTGGTCGGTGCGGGGAGTGGAAGCAGTTAGCCTGGACTGCATAAACGGTTTCCCCTCAATATCCCCACTCGGGTACGCTTACCCGATCCAGTGCCCGCCTGTCGCTCCGATGCCGGACCAGCTTCTCTCGGCTCGGTGCTACTCGGCCACTGCTCACTTCTCCGACATGCGATGCAGGAGGTCTTGTTCGAAGTTGAACCTGAATGTTATGTACACTACAGCTGTGTCAGAAGCGTCGCCCAGTGCAAGAGCATCGCGACAGTCTACAAGAAGAATGTCATCATGACTTGCATCGTTCCCATAATAGGCATTTGCTCAAACTCCCACTTGAAACTTCACAGCCCCTGACCGAAAGGGATATTGCCTTCCCCAGACATGATCGAACCGCCCGTCTCCCCAAGCCAACTATCATCCAAGAACAGCTGATCGGAACCCGTGATGGTCGCAAAAGAGTCCAGCTCTTGAGGCAAGGAGGCAAAGAACCCATCGAAGGAGGGCGGGGTCAGATTCTCGGGGAGATCAGCTAAAGACCCAGGCCCAGGAGTTGGCATTGGGTGCGAGGTGAGACTATTAGGTTGCCAAAGTTGTGCCCATCGCTGGAACTGACTATATCCTGAGTTTGCATCGTGGTTCCATTCCTGCGTCCGATCCTCGTGCCGTTGCAGTCGCTGACGCGCCAGCTCCAATGCTTCGATAGCCGCCACATCCGATCGGGCGGATTCTACACCCACGCACATCTGTCGGATGAGAATCATGCCTTGAGACAGGCTGTTCAGGACACGGTCTGTCTGTTGGTTCAGGCTATGCGCGATCAACGCAAGCAGTGCCGCGCGGCAGGAGCTGAATTCTGTGTATGAGACGCGGGCGATTCCGACCGAGTCGTGCAGAAGCTGGCAGAGATCGATGATTCGAATCGCGGCATCGAGGCAGTCGGCCGAAAACGTGCTGATCGGACTCTCACTGCACGCGTCTGATGGCAAGGAATGACTTGGCTTTGGCGCGAAGATAAATGGACGGCCCATGTATATTATCACGGTATCGTAACTCAGCTCCAGGTGGACATTGCAGCGGAACAGAGGTCCAGTTGGGGTCAGATCTCGGCAGTGGACTTCGGCCGGAAGGGATGACCACCACTTGCTGAGATCAGACCGGATCACCATCAGCTCCTGAAGGTGGCTCTTTTGCTGCAAGCGTGGACAGCCCCGCAGGTGCATGATGGTCTGGGACACCTTGCTCAACTGGCCCGTCAAGAAAATGTTTGCGTTCACGTTCTCTAGGTTTGAAGCTCTTCCGGTCGGAAGGGGTAAGGCTTGGTCGGTCGGAAACCTTGCATCGACTTCAAGACGTGAGACAGACACTGGCCTTCCATGTAGGATGCTGATGCGACTATAATAGAGTTAGTAACGGAGACCATGAGGTGACTTCGTGGCAGGGGCCACCTTTCCAGTGAGTAGGCGGACCACCACAGACGATTCCGCCACTCGAGAGTATCAGGATCAAGCGAGAGATGAGAACTATCTCTATGCATGCCATTCTGAATCGCCATCTTAGTAGCAAGGCCATAATACGTGTAAGCCAGGCCAGATGTGTCGATCGGCACCGTGTAGCTACCCAGTAGCAAGAAGGCCTGTACCGTCTCAACGGATGCCACGGTAATCAGGTCAGGAATCAGTCGACAAGAGAATCGATAGAGCTCTAGCCCAGCACGATCATCCGGTATCTCTTGAGAAAGATGGAGGCTCATCTGCGTTGGCTTCGTCTGCATATAGGCAAATTGGGTTCCTATAGCGAAAGTCATGAGAAGGGTACATATCCACCCAGCGTCGTGTATGGTCAGCGCATGCTCATTGGAATAATAATAGTCCATCTTCTGTCTTAGCATTCTCTCATCAAAGTAGAAGTAATTGGTTTGGGCGAACTGAAGAAACGTCTCGATGAGGAATTCTCCGATATCCCTAGGTGGAAAGTAAACCATAGCAGAAGAGACCACTGATGTAGGTGATTGTAAGTCGGTGGCACGATGTACTCCGCGGACTTTGTCTATCCCCTAAAACACAATCAGCAGAAGCTTTTAAGCGACTTCGTCAGGTGAAGATACATGGTTCTGGTCCGTCCCACTGCCTGAACTCCGCAACCTACGAAGAAGCATTTGGGAAAAGTTCCAGTGAGATAACTCCCCGTAATAGTCTGGAAGTTGTCAGTCGGGTGCGGGAAGATTGGTGCTTTGAAGCTTACGCATGGCGCTGCTCGATAGTGGCTCAAGAGAAAAGTTTTCTGGTTCTGGTTCCGTCGTCTCTGATATTATTTGAACGTCGTGGTCCGGACTTCGCTTCTCAAGTGCATCGGCAATACTTCTCAAACTCGCCGTATCAGTCGCCACATCGCCGATGAAATGTTTAATTATCCTCATCATAACAGCTTCCCTGTCTTGCTCCATAGAAGAAGATCCAGATCTAGTACATATTAGTCTCCTGTAGGATGAGTCTTCAGTTCAGTCCAACCCAGTAGCATTATCATTAGTTTCTCTGCCTGACCGCTGCAATGCGGCCGTTTCAAACCGGCACGCGCGATTGTACTGACGGCAGCGTGCGCACGGCTCGCCGCCCCCGCCTGAAAATTCGTCAGTAGCTGCGAGCAAAGTGGGAAAGAAGGTTGTACATTTTTCTTTGTGATACCGGCAAGGGACGCAGCTGTCGGCGATCGGCGGACGGGTTAGCTTCCTCTATGCTGCAAAGGGCGGCGACTCCTACGCTTGCGCTGCTCTTTTGCGTGCAGATTCCGGCACTCGCGGTCGCTTTTGGCGACCTATTCGCCGTGAGACCTCCATTTCAGGTTGCAATTATCAATAGACAGGCATCTGGGTTACCAGCACACTTGGAAGAAAGGAAGACTTATGCTAGATAGATGTTGAGTAGGTGGTGAGGCGCATTCCGTTTTGATGCCGGCAAGAAGCACAGCAGCGTTTTGTTTGCTTCGTATGTAATCCCTTGCTGCCTTAGGCAGTGCTGCCGCTTTCATGACTCCCATATTTGCATACCGCGACTTATTCCATTATGTCGACCGAGGTTCAGCATACACTTGAGATTAATGACTCCTCGGAGCCTACAATTCAGACCATTTCTTGTCACTGAAGGTCCTCCAGGGAAGATCGTTCGGCAGACACGAGCGCCTATTTTTTGGTGGAGACGCACGCTCACCCACCGCCGGATCAATGGGTACTTGGTTTACGTGCTACAACTTGAAGATAAACAAAGATCATTCAAGAAAACCACGGCAGAAGAACAAATCTAAATCTTTGAGCCGCCTCATCATCATCTGCTATACAAAGACTAACCCTCGAACCAAGATTTCAAATTTCCTGAGAGCTATCTAGGCAGCTAAAAACATGGGTGAACCATATGAAGCCATTGTTCCGTTGCTCCAACCTTCCATTTTGGCGTACGAAAATTTGTGCACAAACGGAGACACTAGTAGATACCTCAATATCCAAAATGCACAATCGGAAGAGAGTAATGAAGCGTGTGAACACCGTGGCGGAAACCGAGACGATGAGGCGAAATCAGGGACTAGTTTGCTGTGAAGTCGATGCTCGTTTTGCCTATGGTCTTCCCCTGGCTGATTGCCTCACATTTCAACAATCCGTCTCGCGCACCAAATGTCACCCTGATATTATATTCCAAATTGTATATTTTGTGACCGTCCATCTCCTTAGCTGCAAATCGGGATAGGTCGACTTGAGAAAAGTCAACTATGATGCGGCCAACCCTATAGACGCCTTTCAAAATTGCATGATCAGACTTGAACATAATTTGCCCGAGGGAACAGGACATACCGAGAGCATCCTTCCTTTCGGGAGCAAGCACCTCATCGTAGGCGTAGAAATTGCTAGTTTTTCTCAGGGAATCTCCGCTCCAGTGGTTCCGGCTGATGTATGCAGTTTGCTTATAGTTCTCAGCATAGCTCTCACCCTACAGAATGAGTTAGCGTCGAGCGTGGCATTATCACCTATGGAACACAGCTAATCTCACTCTAGCGATCATCCACTTCATAATACCACTGACCCGTTTTATGCCATCAAACGCATTAATGTAGGAATCTTTTTCGTTATTATAGCCCTCGCGGAATGGTATACCCCAGTCAAAGCCATAGTGTCGACGGCACCGCTTGGTGCTTGGTCTGATACCGTCTAAACCGCGGAGAGCGGCACCTTGAACAATAGCTGCTTGCCTGAGGAGTCTCACATTTTAGCTGGCAATCAGACATTTTACCGTTAGGAAAGGACATCCATCACTCACGGATCGGTTGGATTCGTCACCGCAATCTCACCGGTCGTCGCGAAGGTGGACTTGATAGCCTTTTGAAGGTATTCCGAGTTACCAAATCCACCCACGAGTATGATTCTCTGGATGGAAGATAAGTTGGCTATTTTTGGGATTTAGAGAAGTGTTGTGCATACATTGATAATCCCTCTACCACGGAGGTTTCGCGCATCCGTGATCTGACGCTGTATCAGGGTGATGACTTTATTGACAACAGGATCGAAGAGCGCGCTCAAGTCCCCACTATGCCAGTTTTAGCACTTCTAGCCAAGGAGCGATAATTTCAACCGACCTGGTTATCTTGACCAACCGCTCTTCTGCGTCGTAGTATTCTGTTGGAGTTCCGTTCGTCAAGGTCATGCTCAGAGGCAACTCTTCTACGCTGAACGAAGAGGAGATTCCGAAATCTCTCTTGACATTCTCAAAAGCGTTCATGAATTTACTGCCGGGGCCTCTGACAGACGTGGGCAGATTGTCGAATGCTCTGCCAAACCGGTGAGACATGAGCTTGTACAAGTTACGATCGATCGCGGTAGACCCGCATTTTCCCCCTGAGTAAACGGTCAGCATCAGGAACATAGAAACAGATTGAGGGTGACTCGGACCAATGCCAGTCAGCAATTCGTGGAACTTGACAGCTGGGAGAACTTTCTCGACAACGTAGGTTGTAATATCCTAAGCAACTGGCTAAGTATGATCGATGCCTGGGGATCCAGGTGAGGACAGTCTTACCACTGTTCCACCGCCACAGTCACAAACGAGGACACCATCTCCGGCCTGTAACCTTGAGTATGATATCCTTAGCGCTAGAAGGAAAATAGAAACTGACCTTGACCGAGGCCCCGACCCCTTCAATGCCGTCCTTCTTAAGTGCCGTAATTGCCGCCGCTTCGGGCTCGCTGATAAAAAACAGTCGATCGCAGGGCCTGTCCCGGCTAGATGCAAAACCTGCCCTTCGAGCGGCTGTCCGAGTGGCATCTTTTGCCTGATCAGACCAGATTGCCGGCACAGTGAACCAGAATTCGATTGGAGTAATAGCAAGGTCCGGGGGCGTCATGTGTCTAGCAAGTGTGTACATGATATGCTTGTAGATGTAGGTTAAGTAGTCGGCCACAACATCCACCGCTGTCTTGCCGGCTGGCAGGCGTAAAATCCCTGCTCCAGAAGCCTCGTCGAGAGACCTATCATCAAATTCTGTCAAAGGCGTATTCTCATCTAGCAGTAGCTTTGTCCATGAGCATGCCGACATGCCAGGCTGAACTTGGAAACCCCAAAGATCCGCAATGGTTCGCTCGTTCTCGGCCGCATATGCAATTCGAGAGGGAACTTTCAATACATAACTAGTGTTCTGCCTACTCCCTGGCCATCCATCAATCACTGTGATGTCCTTCAACTCTGATGCTTTAGAGCCGACATAGCTAACTCCTGTGTATGTGGTGCCATAGTCGATGGCCACGATGATCTTGCGGTCTGTAGCACCAGCGACAAGCAAAGGATCTGGAAATGATGACATGTCTGTTATCTGAAATAGAAACTAGAACCTGTTGAGACTTTCTCAGCAGAATATGAGAGTTGGAAAATAAAACCGGGGGTGGGTGATCATCAACGCCTAAACTCACTGGCAAGCTCTGTCAGATAGACCAGAATACAGAGAGACGTGGTTGAAACAACTCTGGGAGTTAGGAGAAAATCAAAATCAAAGATGTGTTCATCTTTGAAAAGGCTTTGATGGTCAGGTGATGGAGCTTTCGAACCCGAGTGAATGTGTATCGAAAAGGTACAGAGAAAGGAAAAGTAACAGTGGGGGGTGATGCAACTTGGCTGATTGACCTCCCTTGTTCCATCATTCTCTCACAACCTTGTTTCCCTTTCTCACTCCCAAACCTTGCAGACTTCTCTATACCCTGACCTGTTTCGGCCGCAATAGTGGAACATAGCATCCACAGCAGAGTCTAGCTATAGCCCGCTCACTATCATCGAAAAAGGAGCCAGCAAGGAGTTCTAACTCGGTGTGAGGAGAAGACGGTAGCTGCAAGCTTGGCACGGTGGGACTTAATGAGCACTAACCCCCTCAGTCCATCGAGCATCATGGACGGATTACTTCGTAAAGTCCAAAAGGTCTGCCACGTCTTTCCAAACGATTGCTTCAAGAATATTCCTCTAACATCGATATAGTTCCTTCCCTTAAATGACTCCGAATCAGCATCCAAAGACACCTCTGTTTCAACCCCCGAACCTATTCAGCAGCATACCAGGATCAGCCTCGGATGGAAGAACACCCGTTAGACCACAGAACACAGTCCAATTTGGCGAGGATGGCTTATCCAAGCAGGTCTACGAACGCGAGTCTCAAGCTCGTGCACAGATAAGCCAACTTGAAGCCGAAGTCGACAGATTGGTCAGAGAGAAGGAGCAGCTGCGCGAGGAAGCCTGGATTCGCGAGCGTCGGGTAGTTCATGCCTCGAAGAGACAGGCAACTCAATCCAATCAGCATGTGGCCAGCCTTGAAAACCGAATCAGCGATCAGCAGTTCAGACTATCAGAATCTGCTCGAGCGCTTGCTGCACAAAAGGAAAAAAGCGCGAAACTGGAAGCTATGGTGATTGCTAGGCAGGAGTTAGCTCTCCAAGCTCTAAACGCAAAGAAGGGACCAACTCCGATGGAAGACCATGATGTTCGGCGCGCTCTGCGGAAGCTACATATGGCCATACGCTCGTGGGCCAAAACCTATGCTGTATCCGACGTATCCGATTTAGAAGGTATACCAGCATCGAAACTTGATTTGCTTGTGAAGGAGCTGGGGTCATACTGCAGCGAGACCACGTGGACTTCTTTAAACGAGAAGCTGTCTATCCCTGTCAACAGAGTCCCGGACATTCTCGTACAAGCTGCCTTGTCCAGCGTCGTATTTGAATGGATCTTTGAGGACCCTTTTTTTCTTTTCCAAGCCATGGCAATCAATGGTTCCTTCTCCCTGAGCAACGATTTGGGAAGCATTTATCATCACATGAAGCAAGGCAAGTAATCACCCATTACTATTCAAGTCAAACACTAACAGTACAGGAAATCAGTTGACGAAGCGGAGGCCCATGCTTGGCGATCGCAAATGTTGCGATTAATCTCCGTCTCCACAGAACAAAGTGCACAGCCATTACTGGGCAGTCAATCTGGCAGCCTTAGCAGGAACCTAGCGGACCAATTCATACAGAGCGCTACAGGCGCGTTGCTAAAGGAACTTGAAAGTAGAGAAACTCTCGACCATCGAGTCAAAGAGCTTGAAGCTCTCCTTTCTGAAGCTGCTGGTCTGGCTCTGTCTCTATGGACTCAACGTACGGATATGGATTGCTACAGCCTTTACGAGTTTCCACAGTTTTGTAACGGGGATCCAATGGTTGAAGCGCATCGCCTCCATCATCTTGATAACGGGGATGCGCGTCTAGATGGTGCCGATAATGTGCTCGTTGTTTTCCCTGCTGTCGTGGCATTTGGGTCTGTACACGGTGAGCATTACGACCAGTCAATGGTGTGGGCAGCAGCAACTGTGTTGGTCATTAACCAAACTGCAGATACCAAACAGGCACATTCCCGCAAGATGAGCAGCTCTATTGAAGTGGAGGGATTTGATCAGGCGACGATTCTCCCCAAGGCAGAGAACTCCATGAAGCTAGAACATCGTATCACGGTGGGGAAATCTCCCAGGGTGGAAGCTCCGGTCAAGGTGGAAAGTTATGGCAGTGTGGAAAAGCGTCCTAAGGTGGAATATGAAGATGCGGATGATCCAATGGTTCTTGACTTCGTTTAGTACAACCACAGCTCCTATGTGTTCTTCCTTGTAATTGCCAATTTATCTGCTAAACCAGTGGACTTTGCTTACAGAGTTGCGACTCAGAAACTTCTTGCAAATTATTCAGGAATCTTGGTAACGGGCTATGGCTACTGTATCATACCTTATGTAGCGCGGTGCCATTTTCGTAGAACTTCGTCAGGTTCAGCAAGATTAATGGGCTACCTAATGAGGCAGCAGGACTTATTCAGTTTACTATCAAGCCAATCAAACCTTTCCGATAATTTCCTTCGCTTTACATATGCCTCTTCAGGATCAGCAACTCCCCTCTCTCAAACATCTCCCATGGTGTTAACATCGGACATTCTAAGAATTGTCTCCATCAACCTCTCATAACATAAAGCTCAACACCATCGCATGACTTGCAACTTGAAATAGATTGGAACCTTTATCTTGATGGATACCAAATAATGCACCCTATCTTCAACCACCAGCTCTGCAGCACCAATAAAGTCCGCCGCGATCGATATTGGCTAGAGATTCATGATTCTTCAGAGGCGCATCAGCTGCCAGGCCTGCGGAGAAAAATACATCAGTGGTCTCGTTTGGATCGATCATTCTCAAAAGGCATTCTACTTGTAGTCAAGTATCTCAGACATTGATGCTACTTTCCAAGGTGAAATGTGGCCAACCCACATACACTCTAAACCGAAAACTTGGCTCCATTAGTAGACATATTCAGAAGCCCATTCCAGTAGCCTACCGTCGTGATTTTATTCAAGATCTTTCCAGTAGAGATTTCCTAAAATATTTGGGGCGGATAAAGACTGCAATTTGATTTAGCTTCAATCAAGACCTTGTTCCTTGCCACAAAGACGAATAGTTTCATCACCTTCCACTCATTTATGAACCAGCAACCTAACTTCTAAACCCTTCCATTTGACATACCTCCAAACTCCGGGATTCGCAGTGTGCTCAAAGGTGGCTTCACCCAGGCGGTCATGCTTCATAATAATGTAACCAACATAATATCAGTTCCCTCAAGGATCGGGTGTCGCCTTCTAGTCACGATCGGAACTTGACGCTGGTTCGGACTTGGAGCTAATTCTGTCTTGATCAAATCTGGCATACAGGTCTGCAGGTAGCATATTATCTGCACCCCTCTCCCAAATTTCCAACTTCTCGCTATCTGGGTCGTACTTGAGCACAGCCTGCCCTCCACATTCCTTGACCACACCGATGATTCTTGCAAATAGCGACACGAGCTTTTTGAGGTCATCCTGCTGAGCCTCTTCCCACTTCTTGATCTCCACCGTCATGTCTTCAACCGTGGGCGTCTCAAAAAGCCCTCCCATGTGGTAGGCGCGCACAAGGTTCGGGGTCTGAGACACCCAGAGCTGGGGGATGACCTCGTCGACATCGATAGGCATAGAAACAGCGCGAGTTTTGACCTCAAGCGTAGATTGAATGGGAACAACCTGGCCTTCTCTCTTGATCGACAACCCCGCCCCAGCTAAAGAAGCAGCCTGGGACAATTGCAGATACGGTCTACCGTAATAGAGGTACTCAAAGGGACGGGAAACCTCATCAACATTCACGTCTCCGACTCCCGTAGACCCGTTCGAAAGCGGGGAGCCAACATAGCCGTCCGTTTCGTGACGAACCATCAGCTTCAAGCCCCCGAATCGGTATGATATGATCCTGTAATGTCCGGTACTCCCCGTCACCTGCTCGGTAGTGAAGGCCTTCGCAAACTCCTTTGCGAATCCTATGTACTGATACGGTAGGATGGTATCGTATGTCTCTCGCTCCGACCGGCAAAAGATCACAGTCTGTGTGTTGCGGACCCTTTCTACATTGATGGTGAACGGTTTGTGGTCACTGCGTGAGGTTTTGGGGTTGACGAACGCGAGAAGCTTGCGGATGTTGGTCTGGTCCGTCACTAGGTCGATCGAGCGGATGTCGAACGAAGGGTTCTCGAGGTACACGGCGCGGAAGAGAGACTCGAGTGGACTGGCGGGGTGGCGCGCAGCATTCTGGGCTATGTAAATCAAGCCATAATCCTTGTGGAGCTTGGTGTGCAGTTCTGGTGGAGTCCAGAGGGCAGGACGGCCGGGGACGGCGATGGTCGGTGACGAGGCTTCGATCCAGTTATAGGAGGATAGGTGTTGGACATCTGTGATCCAGGCCATCTCCTGACAAGTGCTTCTGAGATCCGCACGGGATATCTTTGCTACCTTGACGGACGTCATTGAGGCTGAAGTGGATTGGGGTATTGAATGCAGAGGAGTATGCACGAGGGAGAATCTTTTTATGCAGTCTTTGACAGATGAAATATCCACTACCAAGCCAAAAAGATATAAGAGCGCGATGGTCCAAGAAAGCTGAAGGAAAGGGGAAGATGGAATGTTCCTCATGTGTCGATAGGTAGGCTGGGAGACAAACACGCTTTTACGTACCAGTTTCAAGGCGGCAAATTTCACCAACACCAAGATATAATTCTTAACATGTATATTGCGTCCATAAAACTGGATAATTGCGTGCAATTGCAACATTATTCCATATACTTGCTACACACTATCCTGTCTTTTCTATGAGCTCAACCCGACTTGCAAAATATTTTTTGTAGCTATACACTTGCTACAAGGTCAGAGCAAGAGTTGAGCCGAATGCATAGGCAGAAGCGGCATTGTTGACACGTGACCACAATCAACCACTGCTTCCACCACAAGAGTTGCTCGCTTGCATGGTCTTGGTTGCCTCATCAGCATGAGCATCAAATCATGAAAGATAGGTAGTCTATCACGTTCTTCATCTTTGCCTATGAAGTTCGACGCGGGCCTGCTGCTTGATCACATTAGTGGGCTTGGATGCAGGCTAGTGTCATGCAAGGCTTAGCACCGCGCTAACCTAACACGGCCAGGGATCCCTGTCCAAAGGAGCTGTCGGAGATCCGGAGCCCCCAATGCGGAACCGGTGCTGCAATCACGTAGCCCTGGGCCGGCGGTGTAGATCACGATCCTACAATCTACTCGACCACGAGGAACTTGCAGAAGAATCTCACTAACCACATGGTCGACCACGAGGTCAACGCAGAAAGGCAGGGATACACTGAGAGAAGGGTACTTGACTAGGACCAGGTTCGGTTGCACGGCAATCCCCAGACAAGTGACAAGGATTTCCCCACGAACCTATCTCGACAGCACTTACGTCCTGCTGTATTCTTACTTGTCTCAAGCCAACTATCGCCTCCGGGTTTCTACCGAAGAGCATACTTGAAAAACATGGAAAATAAGCGAAATGCTATTAGGCCAAGCACCTTGGAAGTGGAGCTGGACGCCTATACACCAAAAGCTACAGCGAATCTCTTTGGTAGAACCCCTCGACCACCTCGTATTCAATGGATCCTGCCGGCGTCCGCCCCCAAATCCTCCGGAGAAGATTCCTTCGAGCTTCTTTTCTGGAAGTCCGTGAACCCATTCGAGTACTCCGGATAGCTTCAGCACGCTTCGAGGAATGCAATGGTCTTGGTAGCTGAGGCTGGAGTGGTCAAGTCGGTAGATTGATGAATGAGATTCCATGGACGGCTCTATATAAAGGTGCTGGGGGACGGTGGACAACCTTCAGAACAGACAGAACAATTCAAACACATATTCCCTCTGATTCTCAAAGAGGCCTCGTTGCTCATTGCCCAAAAGTGACACAAGAAGCACAAACATGTTCGCATCGATACCTAGCCTGCGTGTTTGCCTCGTGGCATTAAGCTTGTTCTTCATCTGGTCTCCCCTGGCCGCCGCCGTACCCCATGGACCTGCGCCCAACAAAGAAGACGCAGCCCACCTCGACAAGCGCTACACCAGTCCCACGGTGATCTGGCCCGCCAACCTCACCCGCACCCCGATGAACGTCTTCCTCCAGATTCTCAACACCCAGCCCAACCCAGACCCGGACCTCATCAAGGAGTGCGTCACCCTGGACGCCACCTACGTCTCGCTCACCATGGACAACCCGGACCTGCATAAGATCATGCCGTGGGCGGGGACACGCTACCGGGTGGGCTACCAGGCCTTCCTGGACACCTTCACACGTGTCGGTCTCTGGTGGACCCGCGGCCCGTTCTCGATCGACGCCATCTTCAGCGATGGCGGGGGCAATGTCACTGCCTGGGGCCAGTTCGAGATCACCTCCAACATCATGCAGAAGACCATCACCGCCCCCTGGTCGGCTCGGGCCGAGATCAACGAGGACATGAAGATCACCTACTTCCAGTACATGGAGGATACCTTTGGCACGGCGAGCACCTTCTGGGCCGATGGACAGAAGGAGTATCGGGCGGATCCATATGGGGGCAGTGTCTGGCTGTGAGCTTGTGGCTGGATCGGTTTCAACTGAAGATGAAGATGGTGGGGTGGGGATATTGAAGGTGCTACTGCATATAGATTGAACTGCTGGGGATGACTGTGTTGGGTAATGGTGCATAGAAGCGGAGGACGGGATTGTTTGGGACCAACTAGGATTAGTTGAATACACCTGTTGTTTTGCATTAGCCGGCCTTTCCGCGCGTCCATCCTAATCTGGACTTCTGAGTCTGTAAACAAGACCCTTCAGAGCGCGTACTCCGAATAGCCATTGCCAAGAATAGGTGAAGGAGACGGAAGTGCGGTGGTGAGCTGATCGGGGCTTCGGGATTAAAGCGGTTAACTCCTTTCAGACAACGGCCACTCCGAAACTCCTTTGGGTGACAGGCAGGATGGCCGAATCGGGTAAGCGCGATGCAGGGGCGCTGACTAAGGAGCCGATAAGAGCTCATGCCACTCCGATAAGAAAGTACAAATAACGATAACAAGACCCCTCTTTGCTCAATGCTACTCTACCTCAATTTTTGCTCTTTCAATTCATCAGTCTTGTTGAGAAACCGTCCTCACACACCATGACTCGCGTACTTCTCACCGGTATATCTCACTGTACTCCCGGGCCAAAGATTCGAGACTAACTGCCCAACAGGTGGGAGCGGCTTCATCGCTGCCCATGTCCTGGAAACCCTCCTGGCCCGCGGCCACTCCGTCGTCACCACCGTTCGATCGCAGACCAAGGCCGACGCCATCCAGAAGGCCCACCCAGATGTCAACCAGGATCGCTTGTCGTTTGCTATTGTTGAAGATATTGCCCAGCCGAACGGTACAGTCTATCCGTTTTTGAGAAAACAATGCCTTTCCATGACTAACCAGCCAACCAGCTTTTGACCGCGCGGTGGTCTCGGATCCTCCTTTCGAAGCTGTCATCCACACTGCCAGTCCCTATCACTTTCACGCTAAGGATGCAAAGGAGTTGTTGTTGCCAGCCGTCACGGGCACCACGGGGATCCTGCAGTCGGTGAAGAAGTATGCTCCGCTGGTCAAGCGCGTCGTGGTGACATCTTCCTTTGCTGCCATCAACGATGTCTTCGCCTCTGCCGCTGGCAAGGTATACTCGGAGGTAAGCCATTTGCTATATGAACCTCACATCCGGCACTTACTAAATCTGCGATCGCACGACAGGCAGACTGGAGTCCCATCACCGAAGCCCAGGCCAACGACAGCCCCGCCAACGCCTACCGAGCCAGCAAGACGTTCGCTGTAAGCCTGCCCCACAAATGGTCTACACAATACATTTTCGAGCTCCAGACTCACTTACAACTACCCTCACAAAAACAGGAACGAGCCGCCTGGGACTTCGTCGAACGCGAGAAGCCCAACTTCACCCTCTCCGTGATGAACCCCCCGCTCGTCCTCGGCCCGATCACCCACCACCTCACCTCCCTCGACGCCATCAACACCTCCAACCAGCGCATCCGGGACCTGCTCTCCGGCGCGGCCAAGCACCGCTGCCCGCCCACGGGCAACTACCTGTTCGTGGACGTCCGCGACCTCGCTCTGGCGCACGTCCTCGCCGTCGAGAAGGAGGCTGCCGGCGGCAAGCGCTTCTTCACGGTGTCGAGCCACTTCTCCAACGCGGAGATCGTCGCCATCATCGCCGAGGAGTTCCCGCAGTACAGGGACCGGCTGCCCACGGGCGACGCGCTGAAGCCCGGCCAGTACCCGGCCGACGGGGTGTACGGGTTCGACAACACGCGGGCGCGCGAGATTCTGGGGGTGCAGTTCCGGCCGCTGCGGGAGAGTATTGTGGATGCGGTGAAGAGTTTGTTGCCTCTTGGGGCGGATAAGTATCAAGGCGAGGCGGGGCCGGAGCGGTAGGTTGGACAATCCACCCGGTGGGATTTTGCTGATGGGTTTGTTTTGTTTTGGATGTTGTCTGGCGTGATGTTCTTTGCATGTTGTTCCATCAGTCAGATCAATTAGACGGAGTGAGAATGTAAAGTATTCCAATTGTTCTAACATGGATTGGTTATGCTGGCTCTAAGTCACAGAATGGGAGACAAAGTATGCGTCATGCGACCACAGGTACTGTCTAGACATGCTTCTACAACACTTAAGACGAAGTCGCCCGACATAGCCGACCGTCCGCCTCCTGCACCCAGTTGTCACTCCCCACTGCCGTCCAGGCATAGAAGGAGTCCTGGGGATCGTATTGCTTCTTGATGGCTAGCAAGCGGTTGTAGTTGGGTCCGTAGAAGGCTTCCTTCCAGTTCGGCTGTTGCGGGTCGGCCTGAAGATTCCAATTTATCAGCGGTGCTCTGCCATAGGTCCTGACGCCAAGCTCCAGGAACTTACCTCGTTCATGTAACAGCCAGGGTCCGAGGTCAGGGCCTCCAGCGTCGGCACCCACTTCTGGGTCATCTGGTCGGCGAGCTGCTTCATCTTGCCGAGATTGGCGTGCTCGGGCCAGGAGCTAACCAGCATTTGTCATCAGTGCATGTTCTCGAGTCTAGATCTGCGGACATAAGAAACAAAGGCTGAACACCTACGTCGACAGGATAACGTCCATCGCGGCCGTGCGCCACGAGGGCAGGACAGAATTGTTGGTGGGGCCCGTCACGGCGGCGGAGACGTTCAACGCGATACTGACGAAGACGGCGCCGTCCTGGGTGATGCTGCGCACCGCGGCGGTGAGGTTGGCGTTGGACTTCTCGATGACCTCCAGCGGGATCAGCTTGCCGCCGTACTGGCCGTTCTCGACGAGCTGGGTGGGGTTGGGCTCGATCAGGGTGTTGTAGTGGTCCACGTACGAGGGGGAGTGGGTGAGGTTCATGGCGTAGGTGATGTTCAGCGAGTCCAGCTTGCCCGTGAGCGGGCTCAGCAGGTCGAGCGCGCGCTGCAGCGTGGCGTTGGGCAGGGTCAGCGGGGTGAGCAGGAAGGAGGCGTTCATCACGCGCGCGATGGCCATGCCCCCCGCCGCGGTGATACTGGGCACCAGCGAGTGGTAGTATTCCACCGCTTGGTAGAAGGGGTCGAGATCGCTTGCGTCCTGCGCCGCGAACTCGAGCACCACCCCCACCGTCGGGAAGTCTGGGAACACCTTGACCGTCATCGAGGTCACCACCCCGTACGTCCCGCCCCCGCCGCCACTGAGCGCCCAGTAGAGGTCTGCGTTCTCGGTCGGCGAGGCGCGAAGCTGTCTCCCTTGCCCGTCGACCACCTCCCACTCCAGCGTCTGGTCGGCTGCCAGCCCGTACCGGCTGCTGAGGGCCGAGTGGCCCCCGCCCTGCGTGTAGCCTCCGGCCGGGCCGACGGTGGCGCATTCGCCCCCGACGACTATCAGGTTGGATTTGTGTAGAGCCGCGTAGACTTCCTCTCCTTGCACCCCCGCGCCGATCGTGACGGCCGGTCCCGTGTAGTGGGGGGAGGAGTAGTCGTGCACGGTGATGTTCTTCAGGTGGTGTGTCCAGATCGAGAGGCCACCTGCGCCGGTGGATTTGCCCATGTAGCTGTGTGGGTGTTAGTTGTTCGATTTGGAATGTTGCATTGGCTTGGGAAAGGGAGGGGAAGGGGGATATACTCATGTCCAGTATTGCGGATGACAAGTCGAATGTTCTTCTCGGTGGCATAGGCTATGGTCTGCGCAATCTCTGCGGGCGACGAGACGTTCACGGCATAGGACACCATGTTCCCCAGACGACAGGTGTCCGTAGATGCTGCGAAGGGGTCGCAGCTCTCGTTGGCCACGGCAGCAGCCATGATTGAGGAAGAAGATGCATCACTGACGATGTTTTGTCAACAAGCTTGGTCAAGGCAGGGCAGAGACGGATAGACTTACTGCAACGCGGGCTGCGTCCACTCGTCCCGCAGATACTGACACTCGGCGGCATTGTAGTTGGGATCAAAACAGGGCGCTGCCAGAGGAACCGTCTTGATGAGTCGTCCGCCGACCGTCGAGTTGAAGTGAGACCATTCACTCGTGGTCGGCCAGCAGGGGTCGCTGGGCATGCATCGACACTGGGATGATGTGGTATTGCTTTGCTCGGCTACGGCTGTGCCGAGCAGGAGGGCGAGCAAGACTGTCCTGAACACCATTTTGCTGTCTTCGTGGTGGATTGTATTGATGCTTGCGTGAATGTATCTGTACTTGACCTTGTAGATAAGGAGCTTATATATACCAACGCTGACAGCAAAATCCTGTTTCGAGTCTCCATATTGGAACTCAGAAACTGAAGCTGAGCACGCGTGTCTTCCAGAAGGAGCTGCTGTGAGCCAAGAATCCTCGCGCATGCAAGCGAAATCCTTCGAATTTGCCCTAAAGGGAAGTGGATGACTCCGGGGACTCGGAGTAAGCGTCTTCTGGGGCGAATACGGAATAGTAGGCTTTCGTACACGAGGTGGCTGCCTTGCTGCGAGTGCTGGTTGTCTAAAGTTTAGGAAAAAAGGTTTGTAGAAGAGAGTAGAAGTTTTGTCTTCGACAAGAATAAGGCTGTGCAGAATTACGCCTTATGTTAGGGGGAGGGGTAGATCTTCTGTGTTGCATGGGTGTAGATGGCACAGCGTTACCACGTGGGATCGGGCTGGGGTTAATCGCACATGGTAAGCACATGGTTTCCCCAGTTCATGGCATCCCATGCATCTTTCATTCTAATCCCTGACCTACAATGTATGCACAAAAATCCCAGTCACGAATCTGAGGTAGATCTCATCAGGCTACAGAGAGCTATTGATTCATCGTGTTGTTTTTCATGGAAAGCGGAACCATTGCCTGCATGCTTTTTGTTTTGCATATCGTAGATGTGTGCTCACATTTATTGATCTAGATTCTCTTATGTGAATTATCCGCTAACGCTACACCGACATTCATTTGAAACCCAGTAGAATCAACCATGATTTTGAAATTCATGACATTGCAATCTCATACGTCCAGAAATCTAAAACTGGGTGCCCACATGAATCCCACCATCTACCAATACATTCGTTCCCGTGACAAAGCTGGCCAACGGACTCGCCAAAAACACCGCCACATTTGCGATCTCCTGCGGGCCTCCCAGCCGCTTCAGGGGGATCTTCAACCGCTGCTCCTCCACCCACTCCGGCATGGTCTTCGAGTACAGCTCCCAGGGCCCGCCCTCGCAGAGCACGGGGCCCGGCGAGATGGCGTTGACCCGGATGCCCTTGGGGCCCAGGTAGTGCGACAGCTCCTGCACATGCTGCAGCTGGGCGGCCTTGCAGGGCCCGTAGGCCGCGGGCGGACTGCGGTAGAACTCACGGCCCATGAACGAGCTCTGCACGATGATTGAGGCCTGCGGGGATTTCTCCAGGTAGGGCTCGGCCGCCTTCACCAGCTCCACGAAGCCCATCACGTCGATCGCGAAGCTGCTCTCCCAGTGCGCAGTCTCGCCTTCCATATGCATGGGTGATGCTGGGGATGGTGGGGTCAGCACGGACAGTGGTTGGGGGTGGTCATTGTAGGAAGAGGAGGGGCAAGACAAACCGTTGGCGATAATGACATCGATCCGTCCCACGCGTTCGGCGGAGCTGTTCACCCAGTTTACGATCGCTTCCTTGGAGGAGACATCGAACGCGGTCCCCACTGCACGGGCAGAGTTGCTCTCCGGGAGGGTTTGGTGGACGTCGTTGAACTCGGTGTTGGTGACGGTGCGGGCGCAGTAGGAGACATTCGCGCCTTCCTGGAGGAATTGGCGCACCATGGCTTGGCCCATGCCTCGCGTACCTCCCGTAATGAGGACATGGGCGCCTTGAAGACCGGTTTCGAGAGGCATTGCGACGAGGAAAGAGTGGTGGTGTGAGATCGAGGAAAAAAGGAATTTGAGGGGATACTGGTTGATGGAGATGGAGGGGTGGGGTAAGAGGCTGGATATATACTATGTACTAATTAGACTTGACAAAGTCTCACTAGCATCGTCACGGGAGTAAGCCTGCGAGCTAGTGGAATTAGTCCAAATCTTTAAGGTGCTAGGAGCATGCACGATGAAGGTCTAGTCTCCACTCAAGTTTATCTACATTGGAGACCGGAGCATCTCAATGGAATGTCTGGAGAAGCGAGTCTTCCCTCCAGGAGTAAATAAGCTGTTTTCTCCTTAGGGACAGCCGAATCGGGCCAAGTGGGCCCTCACTCAAGCTTTGCTGACTAACCACCGGGGACCTGCCCACTAACCCCAATCAGGCCACCCTTCCGAAACTCCTTTAGGAAGTCCATGATGGAGTCTTCCCGCTTCCCAATCCAGCATTCATTCTACGGAGTATGTCGTCAACTGAGCTGGTTGCAACGCTTCCTCTACTATCATCCAGAGATATAAGTTCAACGGCACGCTTTCTCACCATGGCGGCTCTGGTACTTCTGTCTCAGCCAAGCTTTCTTGGAACCCTCCTGGTGCATTGGACGGCGAGATTGCAATATCCACAGCACCAATGGAGAAGTATCAAGCAACAGATACCTTGCAGCAGGACTCCAGCGGGAGTTGCGTGATGACGCCGGTCAACGCAGAGTCTCTGCCGGACAAGGAACAGATTGCTCTGCATGATGACCCCTTGTCGGATTCATCCAACAGTGTGGCCGTTGAACCCATTGCCCTGAGCGTGAAGCGGTTTCTTTCCCTGCGCAATGTCGACGGGAACGCACTGCACTCGGCTAGAATCGTCATGGAGAACGTGACAGTCGAAGGGAGCGGTACCGGGGTAAGTGATTAGCTATTTTTCATCAATGTCTCTTCGGGGGAAGCACTGACACAGTTTCACGGCAGGCTCTGCCGGCTCCAAGCGTCCTCACAGCGGCAAAAGGTGGCTTTGGCCTGTTGGAGCCCATTCAAAGTCGCCTGCATCGTCCGTCATCACGGCCCATTCTTCGTGATTTCTCCGCTGCCATCCAGCCGGGCG